AAAAAAAAAAAAAAAAAAAATTCAAAGTGTGGTATGCTTATTTTCTAATATTTCATTTGAGTAATAAAATTTATTTCTAACCAGAGAAGTTATATTCTCAAGAGTAAATATCTTTATTTTTATTTGTGGGGTTTTCTTTTGTTTGTTTTTTGTTTTTGGTTTTTTTTTTTTTTAATGTATTTGGTACAGGGTCTCACTACTCAGCTCAGACTTACAGTGATCCTCCTGTTTTCAGCCTCCCCAGAGCTGGGATTACAGACATGTGCCACCATGCCGGGTCTCGGTGGCTCAGGGGTAGGGCAGGCATGGCATGTGATGCTGGGGATTGAACCCTGGTCCCTGGGCTTGCCTAAGCAGGCGCTTAATCCACTGAGCTATGTTGCTGGCCCTTGAATTACTTCTTAAAAGTAGAAATAATGTGAATTTTAAAATCTTACTGGAAAAACTAGATCACTTGAATGGCCATGTTGACTGGAATTTTTCTAAAAGGAAGTAGAGGAGGTTCAATATATGCAATGTGTTATTATCATATTTATAAGCAAGTGGTTGGAATGCTCAAAGTTTTCAGAATATAATTAATGTGGGGTTTTTTTGTTTGTTTGTTTGTTTTTTTAACAAATAAACAAGGAGGCCTGCCAGTTAGCTAGTTGTTTAAGTGCCTGCTCATGCAAATGCAGGCAGGTTTAGGATACCACAGTTTGAACCCTACCTCCACCTGCCTTACCAGACCCGCCCTTAAACAGGCTGAGCCAGCCAAAAAAAAAGAAAAGAAAAAGAAATCCTCCTAGGGGCCGGGGAGATATCTCAGTAGAATAAGTGCTTGCCTGGCAAGCACAAAGGCCTGAGTTGAATCCCCAGTTCTGCAAAATTAAATAAGCGGCATAAAATTAACAAGGCAGAGAATGACCATAGCAATCTTTGAACCTCTCTTCATTTCAGTTTGTCTTATGACAGAATATTTAATGTAGGTATCCAAATGTGTGAGCTCTGTCTTAAAAAAAAAACAACAAAAAACAAAGATTTATTTATTTATTTTTTGTATTTTAGGGATGGGTCTACAGGGTGTTCAGGGTCTCACTACTAGGTCGCCTGTTTACAGCCTCCCAAGAGCTGGGATTACAGGCATGCGCCACCACGCACAGTCCCAATCACTGTCTCAGCGCACCCCCGGGGTCCGGGCCAGCATGGCAGGCCCAGGGACCAAACCCTCAGCCCCTGTGCCTGCTTGCAGGTACTTTAATCCACTGAGCTATTTGGCCAGCCCTTAACAAAGATTTAAAGCTTATTAATTTTTCTCCATAAAAGAAATTGTTGGTCATGTGCAAGAAGTAAATATTAGATACAAATAAGCACTTGAGTTGTCCTTTCAGGAGAAAGTAAGATTTTCTCAGTAAATGAGAAAGTAACTATGAAAGAAACCACTCGTAAAGAGCTCACATTAAAAAAAATATTTTTTTTATTTTTAAAGAGAATAAAAAATAGTAAAAAAAAAAAAAAAAAGAAGAAGAAGAAGAAACCATATAGAATTTCACCAAACAAAATGATAGGAATTCAACAATGGTTGTTATATTACATATTGTCTTCAAATTAGTTTTTCAAATTACCAGATACAAGCATGCAGAATTGGTTAAAAAAATTTTTTTTAAAGAAGAGAGAAAAAAATTAAGCATTAACTGCTCCTTTCAGTAGGCCAGCAGAAAATAGCAGTACAATTATCCAAGCTATCCTGCATATGTACATATATATTTCTTTTTCCCTTCCTTCATTCTTTCTTTTCTTCTTTTCCTCATCACCCTTTCACAGTATCTATTACACCTTCCAGATTTTATTTACTCTTTCAGGTTCTTATATTAAGGAGACAAAATGATGTTGACACACATGGGTGTGATTTCTTTCACTTACAAGTGTGGTCTCTAGTTGCATCCATTTACTTTTAAAAACCTCAAGTTTAAAATAAATAAAAACCTCAAGTTTATCTTTTTTATAGCTGAGTACTCCATTGTGTAAAAATACATCTTTTTTTCTTCCATCCCTCATTTGATGGGCATTTGTGGTGCTTCCAAGATTTATGTATGACAAATTTGCTGCTGTAAACATGAGTGCACATATATCTCTGTTTTATGTTTTCAGTTCTTCTGGGAAAATACCCAGGAGGGGAGTAGCGGGGTTGATAGGGAACTCCAATCCAGGCTGCCTGAGGAATCTCCACACTAAGAGCTCACATTTCAAAAATGGTTGTTTGCAAGTGTTTCCATCACCACTCTTCTGTTCCGTAGTAACCACCACAGCACCCCTCACGAGTCTGACTTCTCTGGTCTTCTTAGAGCTTGGTGGCTTAGTTGGCTTTTTGTGGAGCTAGGGCCTTGTGCATACCAGTCAAGCCTGCTAGTTCTGAGCTGTACCCCCAGCCAAGATGTTTTAAAACAAAGAATTTCAGCATGGTTGGATACCTTTGTAAAATCTAATCTGATTATTTTGCAAAAACAATTATTTGACCCCAGAAAAAGATTTACTAGCCAAATTTCAGTGAAAATTAAAACTCAGTATTATGATTTATCTAGCACAGACAAATAGTGTCTTCTACCCTCTGGCTTTCACAGATTCCTGAGAATTAACTTTTCCTTTTTTATTTTTTTTACATTAAAATCAAAATAAAGGGCTGCAGAGATAGCTCAGTGGTCTAAGCACCTCCCTAGGCAAGCACAAGGACCTGGATTCAGTCCCCCACATCATGTGCTGCACCGGTCCTGCCGCCAAGACCACGGGTGGGGCACACTCCTGTCATCCCAGCTCTGGGGAAGCTGAAACAGGAGGGTCACTGAGTCCGAGCTGCATAGTGAGACCCTGTACCAAATACATAAAATTAAAAAAACAAATCAAAATAAAATAGACTGGCTCTTTAAATTGCTATATTTCTAAAGAATAAAAAAGATTTTCAGAGCTAAGAAAGCATACTTAGTCATGCTAAGTATGACTTTTGTAATATTTTCAGTGAGAGAAAGATGTTTTAAATTGTGAATGAATATAATTAAATTATTCCTTAAATTTAATGTATTTCAGCTATATATACTTTTTTTGAGACAAGGTTTCACTGTGTAGTTCAACCTGACCTCAAACTCAAAGCAATCCTGTAGATGGATATAGATATAGATATAGATATAGATATAGATATAGATATACTTTTTAAAAAGCATGTCCAACTTGGGAGAAGTTTTATACTGTATCGTAATCTATGCACTCAGAAGCATATGAGCTTAAGTTATAAATAGAAGCTGAGGCACTGGATCAGGTGTTGCCCTAGTCAACTTGAACTGCAGGTGTTTGGAGAACAGCTGCCAGAGGTTCCTGAGGAATCTGCATCCTTGGCCATGGGTCATAAAATGTGAATCATTGTGATTTCTCATTTATTTATTTATTTATTTATTTATTTATTTATTTTGGTACTGGGGATTGAACTCAGGACCTTGTACTCACCAGGCAGGCACTTAAGCTGCTGAGCTATCCTCCCCATCTTTGTGGTTTGACAGGGGCCTTTTGAAAAGGTGTTTTACATGGAGTTAGGCATCTAATAAGGCATTAAATTTCTGTGTGTGTGTATGTGTGTATGTTTGTCTGTCTGTCTGGGAATTGACCCCAGGATATTCTGAGCCTTTTTTAAATTTTGAGACAGTGTCTCATTTACTCTTCTCTCATTGCTGGAACAGATACCCGACACTCAAAATGGGGGAAGGAAAGGTTTATTTAGCTCTCAGTTACTAGAGGTTTCAGTCCAGTAACTGAGTAAGCTGGCTCCAAGGTAGCATGGCACATAGCAGAAAGCAACCTTTCATGGTGGCAGCAAAGAGCAGAGAGGGCAAAAGGGAGGAGTAGCAGCAGCAATGGCAACAGAGAGGAAGTCTGTCTCCCTTAAATTGCATTCAGGCTATCCACCCCAGGCTAGGTGCAGTACTCACATCCATAATCCTAGTGGCTCATGAGTTAATCACAAACTCTAAAAGTCCTCCCCATGACTGCATGAGGCTTTGGGGGACAACTAGATACAAACCGTAACAGACAGGATCCTGCTTAATTCCCTGGTATAGCTTTAAATTTGAAATTCCCCTGCCCTAGTTTCCCAAGCATCTGGGATTACAAGTGTGCACCACTACACCCAGTGCCATATTCTTTTATAGAAAGGAAATGAAATTTTTGGGGGTGTATTGCTTGTATTAAGGAAAATTAGCAGTTTTGCTCTCTTTTCTTTTTTTTCCATAATTTTATTGAGAGACAAATAGCAATGAGACAGTTTCAAATCAAACAAATAAAACAGTTTCAATAATTAACACATTGCATACTCTCTTCCTAGTGGTTATTTGCTGCACAAGATGTGGACATGATATCCTATTTACAAACACTATTACAACAAATCCCTCTATTCATTAAGAGAATGTAACTATATACCTATTCTAACCATTTTGAATACACAGATACAAAATGGACATTCATCTGTATCCCCTTTTTTGTTTAGTTCCGTCATTTGAATATTATAGGTGTGTTAACTCAGCACAATATTCTAAAAGAGTCCAATAGTCTATAATAGTATTGGGTCTTCCTCTTGACTGGCAGTGTCAGAAATTGTTGACCTGAGTCCCCTACAGCTCAACACCATATCTTTTCTATAAGCATGAGTTTCTCTTGAGATTGTAAAACACTCCGTAGCTAAAGAATTTGAGGAGTAAAATTTAATTATTACTTTATTTTATCTGGAAATAGGCTAGGTGTGGTGGTAAATGCCTATAATCCCATCATTTAGGAGGTTGAGGCAGGAGGATCACTGCAAGTTCAGGGCCAACCTGGACTATCCAGCAAGACCCTGTCTCAAAAATAAATAAATAAATAAATAAATAAATAAATAAATAAATAAATAAATTGGGAAATAGTTATAATTAATTTTCTACTTATTTTCACTCTTCAGCAAAACAGGGATTTGGACATGTTCATCAATGCCTCTAAAAACTTCAACCTCAACATCACCTGGGCTGCCAGCTTCTCAGGTAAAGATATCCAAAGAAGACACTGCAAGTGGAGGTAGGGATAGGTTGGGAAAGGCGGGCTCTGGAGAGAAACTGGTGGCTTTAGACCTTACCTTTGCTACTTATTAGCTGTGAGATCTTGAGCAAGTGTCTAAACCATCTCTAGACCTTAAAATTCTTCATCTGTAAAGTGAGCATTGCAGTATTTACCTCCTAGAACTTTGTAGACTACGTTAGGACACATATGCTCACTCCTGTCATCAGTAGGTAGCTACTACCCTGCCCTGCTACCACTCCTCATACCTTTGCTGTGTTTACAGCTGAGGCACCACTGCCCTACATCTGTGCTTCAGAGGTGAAAATTTCAGAGGACTCATAGTCTCAAGAAATGAGCACCTTTTCAGTAAAATGAGATTTAATAGACACAGGAAACTGCACTTTGGGAATTAAACCAAACTCTAAAGCCAAGTGTTTCTGTTTCACTGTGATTCACTACAGATCAGATGACCCTGAAGGAGTGGTTCACGCAGGATTTCATAACTTCACAGATAGATTGGATTTATTTGAATTCTGCCTATTGCTTACCTGCCCTGTGCTGTTGAGCAAGTTACCAAAGCTTTCTGAGTCATTTGCCTTGTGTATGAAATAGGATAGTGAAGAACACCTAGCTGAATATTATAAGGATTAAATGAGGTTTTCAACAAATTAAAGCAATGCTTGAAATGCAGTTAATTTTTACTAAGTGGTAACTGTTTCATCATTACTACTGTGTCAGTACCTTACAAACCAATTAGACTGGTGCAAAATAAGAACATAAGCTTTACACACCACTGTAGGGTTCATCATATCTTTAAAAAGTATGTAGAATTTGGGGAAAATTCAGAAACCTGTAATGAGAGACCTTTATGCAAAAGTCTGAAATGTTAGAATATTTGGAGAAAGGCACCATCATAATATGGGAAGACTTGCAGCAACCATATCAGCAAAGATGTAACAATCTAGGAAGGTGATGGCAAACCTAAGGCACACGTGCCACAGCCATATTTGTTACCATGAAAGCTCTAAAAGGTTCACCATCACTGCCGTCACTGACCAGGGCTGTAGACCCAGGCTTAACTCAAGCATGGGAGAAAGTTCGTTTTGTGAATCTATATAGTTGTTCAAGTTCCTGGCTGAGAGGAACATGGAAGGTGAAAGGGATATCTGGGGATAGATAGGAAGGACTTAATACAGTGTAGATAATAGCAGAAGATGGGTTATACTCGCCCATACCTACCACCAGGGGGGCTGAGCCTTGAGGCCCTTCTTCCTTAGTGAAACTTGAGGCCACTGCTGGTTAGGAAGTGAGGGGGTAAATCAGTGACCCTGACAGGGTCTGGTGCAGTGCCTTGCAGGTGTGAAGGTGAAATGCAAAAAGACCAAGCTAATATGTTCCCAGAGGATGCCGGTGCAAGTTAATAGAACACTGAGGTGATGATTTCATGGTCCTGTGTTGACAGTCATGAGATGCAGAGTTGCGTGCTTTCTGGTTTGGGGCACACGCTTGTATGTCAGCCTGCCCACCTTCAGATTTCAGCTCTCTTGTTTGCTCCCCGTGTGCTCTGAGGCAAGGTACTTAATTGTTTTTGAACCTCAGTTTCTTAATCTGTAAATGAAGATATAAAGCTATTTTAAGGATTAAGGGAGATTGAGCTCTTTTTTTTTTTTTAATTTTATTTATTTATTTGTGTGTGTGTGTGTGTGTGTGTGTGTGGCCAGCTCAGCCCACCAGGGGGCGCGGCTGGCTGGCATGTGGTGCTGGGGGATTGAACCGTGGTCCCTTTGCTTTGCTAAGCTTGTTTAAATAGGTGCTTTAGACCACTGAGCCATCTCACCAGCCCCCGAGATTGAGCTCTTAAAAGCTATTTCTGAGGGGCCAGGGAGATGGCTCAGTGGAATAAGCGCTTCCTGGCAAGCTCAAGGGCTTCAGTTCAATCCCAGGTTCCGCAAAAAAAAAGTTATTTCTGAGACATTGTAAGTGTTAATTAAGTAAATGCTGTTATTTTCATTATTAATTAGTAGAAGACCCACTAATTCTGTCCCCAAAAGTTGCTTATTTATATTCTCTTCCTCCTAACAGCTGGAACTCAAGCTGGAGAGGAGATGCCTGTTGTTTCAAAAACCAACATTAAGGAGTACAAAGATAGCTTTTCTAATGAAAAATTTGATTTTCGCAACCACCCAAATATCACTTTCTTTGTTTACGTCAGTAATTTTACCTGGCCTGTCAAAATTCAGGTAAGAAATGCTTTCTGGCCTTATACATGCACAGATGGTGAAATTTCCCTAGGAGAAGACTGAATTTGCCATGGAATTTGTGGTAAATGAAACACACTGTTGCTTTGCCTTTGACTTGTGAGATCTGTGCAAAGGAGTGCTGAACATCTCAGCACTGGAGCAGCAATTGTACTAGATAAGCGATTGTCTTATGTTACCTGTGAAAAACTATAAGTACTTTTGAAAACAAGTTGGCATATAGCAAATTTGGTAGTTAGAGATGTATTCATTTCTTCACTGAGCACATCCCTATAAAAGCCAGTAACACATGAGGAGCTTTAACACTGGATGAATGAGAGAGGAAAGGAAATAAACACATATAGCCCATGTGGAAAGTGACCTAGGAAAAGATTCCCAAAATGCTATCGTAGTGTAAGGCAGCAGAGCAATATAAGTGGCATGTAAGAGCACAGGCCAGGGCCTGTTTGATTCACAGCTGCTGTGCATGTCATAGAGTCTCTCCAAGTCTCAGGTGATCTGTGCGTTTGACTTGAGGAGAGTTGTGAGGCTTCCTGTTGTGTGCTACAGCCTGGGTTGTTATCAGTTTGCTCTTATCCTGCTTCCAGGTGATGGGGTGCTCCTTCTATCAAGACCTATGGCCCCATCTGTCATGTCCTTTTGAGTTGTTACCTCCAAACTGCCTGTTCCTTACCTTCTTAATTTTGCATGACTGTGGAGGAGAAGGATGAGAGTGATACAGGGAGAAAAACTGATCTCGGGTGGGTGACCTCCAAATGATATAGGGAACCTCCAAATGACATAGGGAAAAATGATCTCCCGACCTGACATGGATGAGTTCATGTTCTCTAAAACCAAAGAATGAATTTTAGGAACAAACAGAGGTTATGAGCAGAGTATATTTATTGAGAGAAAGAAAGCTCCTATCCAAGAGAGGGACAGAAGGGGGACCTGAGGGGGGTAGTTCCCCGGAAGCTGTCTCTTCCAGGGACTTTATAGCGTAAAACCATGTGAGGCTAAGGTGGAGAGAATAGGAACTCGCTTAGGTGGACAAGAGGTCGGACAAAACTATGGACAACCAATGGGATTGCAAGCACCATTGCTCAGGTAAAGTTGATTACGCCCAGGACAGACCAAATGGGGAAGTCAGTCTCGGAGTAAGTGAGCCTGAATACGGGACAGAGTCTCTTCCTATTGGGGGCTGGGCTAGAGACTCATTTGGGCTTTTTCACGGTGATTGATATCTATTTAGAATATCAATCCCAGGTGCTACTCTTTTAGCATTTGTTTGCTCTTTAGGTCTTTAAGTCAAGTTCACTGCAGGAGCATCTGTCCCTCCCATAGTTGTCTTTGTCTTCTGTGTTATCTCCTTCGAGGTCCTGGCCCTGTCTGACTGCCTATAATATTTCTATCTCACTCAGCTGCCTGCAACAAGAGGACTTGGAAGGGCTGGTTCACTTTTAGCCATAAAAATGTGGTTATTGGGCTGGGGCTATTAATGTGACCCTCTTGGGAAGCACTGGTCAGCACTGCTCAGCTATAATGAGTTTGGAACTAGGTCTGGTGGTCATGACCTCATGCCTTGGGACTATGACTGAAGAAGAGTCTTTTCATTTTTTGGAAGTGGAGGATAGGAACTATGTTGCATTTCTTCTCACAACTCTCTCTCCTTTTCCTGTCTAGATAGTCCACAAATTTGTTCATTCTCTGGTCTGCTTCACCCTTTACGTAATCTTGTGCATTCTTTGCTTCCTTCCTCAATCTTGTAAATGAAGACTCTGTTCTGTTTCCTCTTACCTCTCTACCCCTTGGCCCACATCAATCTGACTTCTTCCCCACCCCACCAGAAACCACTTGATCTTAGTGAACTCCAGTGACTGAATTCTTCAGTTCCCTTTCCTTTCTTGCTGTATAACTTTAGTTGCTGTCTTTCTCCCCTTCCTTTCTTTCCCTGATTCTCTGGCCAATCTTTAGGAATTTCTCTCCCTTAGACACTGAGGCTGTCTACAGTTGAGGCATTGGTCCCCTTCTCCCTTCCCACTGCATAGCTGTAGTGCTTCATCTACGTAGTATGTAGTAGTATGTAGTGCTTCACTACGTAGCTGTGGTGCTTCATCTCAAGTGCAGGCTTTGTGGTACTGCTTCCACGGGAGTGTCACACCGGTGTTCTTGGCTGCTGCCTAGACATTTCTGCCTGGATACTCACAAGCCCTGCACAATGTGTGACTCCTTTTAGAATCTTAGCCCCAAACTCTTTTTTTTTTCTTTTTTAGTGAACAGCAAGCACTATCATTTGTGCAAAGTGTACAACCAGGCCATTTGTACAAACCAGGCCAAGAAATTGTTTGCATTGTTGGCATAAACCCAACTTGGCATGATATTATTATTTTCCTACTGTACACATTGCTGGATTCATTTTGCTAATAGCTGAATTAGAACTTTGTGCCTGTTTCATGAGTGGTAGTAATTTTCCTTTCCTATGCTTGTTATGATATTGATACTAAGGTAAATGAATCTAACCTTTAATAATTATAATTTTCTTTCTCTTTCATCTCTAGAAAAGATTAGACTTGTGACCTCAAATACTCATAGCTAGGCATGATAGTGCACACCTGTAATCCCAGCTTTCAGGAGGCTGAGGCAGCAGGATTGTGTTGATTTTGAGGCCACCTTAGGCCAGATAGTGCATTTGAGGCCAGTCTGCACTATATAGTGAAACCCTGTCTCCTAATAAATAAATAAACAGATCAAGTACTGTTAAAGCCACTTAATCTAGTGTTTTATTTATTGAGATTTTTTTTTTTTTTTTTTGCTTGTTGAGTCAACTGAGGAAGTTTTGGTTTTTTGTTTTTTGTTGTTTTTTTTTTTCCTATTTGAGTCACTTTTGATAATTTTTTCCTGATATTTATTTCATATGTTACAAATGCTATAAGCTTATCTATACTGTTCTCTATTCTTTGTAGCATCCATCTTCTTGTAGCCTTTTTGTACATCAGCATCCATCACAGCATTATTCCCACCAGCCACATGATGGAAGCAACTCAGATGTCCATGAATGAAGGAATAAAAATTTAAAATGCTATGTATGTAAAGTGAAAGATTATTCAGCCTTAAAAAACAATGAAGGGGCTGGCGAGATGGCTCAGTGGTCTAAAGCACCTACTTAGAACAAGCTTAGCAAATCACAGGGACCACGGTTCAATCCCCCAGCACCACATGCCAGCCTGCCCTGCCCCCTGGTGGGCTGAGCTGGCCGTGCATGCACACACACACACACACACACACACACACAAATAAATAAAATTTAAAAAAAAAAAAAAAAAAAAAAAAAAAAAAAAAAAAAAAAAAAAAAAAAAAAAAAAAAAAAAAAAAAAAAAAAAAAAAAAAAGGAAAAAAAAAATGAAGGGGCAGGAGGTGTAGCTCAGTAATGCAGTACATGCTCAACAAGTGCCAGGCCCTGGACACAGTCAGTCCTCAGCACCCCAAAAAGGGGAAGGTTGAAATTCTAATGAATGCCACAAGATAGGTAATCCACAAATTATTGGGCTAAATTAAACCAGTCACCTATACAGGTGTATAGTTCTACCTGTATAAAATATAATATTCAAATTCATATAGGGAAGTAGATTAGAGGTTAGCTGGAAGGAGCAGAAAACAAGAACTTACTGCTTCATGGTTATTACAGTTTTTCTTTAGGGTGATAAAGCTTTGCAAGTAGGGCTTGTTGTACAAATTGTGAATGTAGTTACTGCTGCTGAATTATATCCTTAATAATGGTTAAATGAAACAGGGCACAGTGGCATGTATGTTTAGTACCAGCTATTCAGAAGGCAGAGGCAGGAGGATTGTTTGAATCCAGGAAGTCAAGACCTGGCTCAGCAACACAGAGAAGAAAGTAGTGGTAGTAGGGGTTTTTAAATGATAAATTTTGTTTCATATATCTTGCCATGATAAAAAAAAGTTTTGAAAATGTCACGATGTATTTGTAGATCTAGACAAATTTATTCTAAAATGTATGAAGAGGTAAAGGTTCTAAAATAGCTCTACACTTTTAAAAAAGTGTGAAATGGGAGGAATCATTGTACGCAGTATTGAGGCTTACTGTGACCAGTACATCATGGTTTCTGGAAGAGCAATAGATACATAGACTATTGGGCTGAGCTGATCTGCAGAACTACATCACACCATCCAGCTGACTTCTGGCAGAGATGCAGAGCAATTCACTGGAGGAACAAAGGCCTCTTCCACAAATGGTGCTAGTGTACTTGGACAGTCATAAGCAAATATGAGCTTAGACCCCAAGTGCACATCTTCTACAAAAGTTCACCCAACATGGATCACAGATCTAAATGTTGTTTTGTTTTGTTTTCTTTTGTGTTTCTGAGACAAGGTTTCACTGTGCAGCTCAGGCTGGCCTTGAACTCATTTGTAGCCCAGATTAGTCTAGAACTCCTACCTCAGCAATCCTCCTGCCTCAGCCTCCCAAGTGCTAGGATTACAAGTGTGTGCCACCATAGCTGGGCACAGATCTAAATTTAAAACATAATGACAACTCTTTTAGATTAGGAGAAAAATCTGTTTTCTCCATCCCCAGGATTGAACCCAGGGCCTCACACATGGTAAGCAGGTGCTCTACCACTGAGCCTGCACCCTCAATCCACTTTCAAGGTACAAACCATATATTTTGTTAGATAATTTTTGTACAAAATATCTGATTTGGAGTTTAGTACATAAAATGTATTGACTTCTGCAAGCAGGAGCAGGGACTGGGTGTTCAATCCCCAGGCCTGCAATGCCGGCCCCGCCCCCGGGGTGCACTGAGCCAGCAATTGAGACTGGGGCATGATCGCATGCCTGTGATCCCAGCACTTGGTAGGCTGTAAACAAGCGGATCACTATGAGTCTGATCTACACAGTGAGACCATGAAGACCCTTCCCTAAAATACAAAAAAAAAGTATTGACTTGTTTTAAGCTGAGATTTGTTTTTATACCTACCCCATCA